CCTCCCGTTACACCCGGGGGAAGGTGTTCCCGAGACCGCTCCCATCCTCACCCCGCCTCCCCGCTTCCCCGGCTCCAGCCTCCGCCGGCGGAGCTCCACTATGCCAGACAGTTTCGACACTTTGCAAAGACAAAGACCAAGGGGAGGAGGAAGAGGAGGACGGAGAGGAAGAGGAGGAGGAGAGAGAGAAGGAAAGGGCTATGTGAGCTGGGAAGGGGGCGAGTATCCCGGACACCCACCTTTTATTCTTCTCCGAGTCCTCTCATCGCCTCAAGCCCCGGAAACTTCCGCGTGTCTCCAGCCACGGTGAGTGAGCGCGCGGGGCCGGGGGTGCGCGGGGGGCTGCGTCCGCCGGAGTTGGGGCTCGGGCAGTTCCGTGTGTGTTCTCTGAGTGGAGGAGTGATTGCCCGGAGCCGGGGACAGAAGTGGTGGGGAAGGATCCAGGAGGGTGTGACAGGAGGGTGGAAGTAGATTGAAGACCCCGGGCGCCGGGAGGGAGGAAGACACACGTAGGGGAGACCTCTTAGCAGCAGCGCCGCCGGGGTTTTGGGGAGAGGACGAAGGTCGGGCAGGAGGGTCGGGCTCAGGGATCTTCAGTGGTTTCAAGAAGAGCTGCCAGGAGCCCAACGGGGAGCCTACCCTGGGTCTAGGGCAGCGGTCCCTGCGGTGGCCCCAGTGACATTGCACCCGGCGCCGGCCTGCATCTCTCGGGTCGGGGCCGCCTAAAGGTGGAGCCGCCAGAGGGGCCGCGGGTGGGATGAGACCCCACCAGGCGGCAGGGCTCTGGCTCTTTAGAGCGGAGCCTGGGGAGTGTGGGGGCGCGCGGAGGCCACCAAGTGATCCGGTCTAGCGGCCACGGGATGGTATCCGGAGCCAGCTTCCAAATCCGCTGCGAGCAGCCGCAGATCTGGGAGGTGGCCATAACCCCCGGGGACACCGCCGGCCCGCGTTGCTCCGGATATGGTGGAGAGGTTGGCACCCGGGACGGGGCAGCTGGACGTGGCGTGGTGGGCAGGGAGGGCCCCGGGTGGGCGAAGCGGAGCGTGGCGGGGTGGTGCTCGTGGCAACTCGAAACTCCTGAGTCCGCCCCAATCCCGTTAGGCGCCGCAGCTGCCGCGAAATAATCTGACAAAAGTTAGCAACTTGTCTGCGTCTCGGGTGTGCGACCTGCGCGGGACAGGGGCCGCTCCTTGGGAGAGCGCAGGAGCGGGGGAGCCGTGTGGGTACAGCCAGATTCGGAATCGGGACAGTGGCGCAACTTTGAGCTCCTTCTTTCACTGAGCGTGAGTGTGTGTTTTGAGCTTGACCTTGCGGGAGGAAGCGCGGCTGAACTTGAGATGAGGATTGAGGCTGCGCCCCAGCTGGGCAGTTATGCCCCCGGGGCGCCTTCGCCTCATCCCGCGGCCCGGTCTCCTGGGAAGCGTGTTGGGATCGTCCTGGTTCCTCTCGTCCGCTAGAGACCGAGTCTCCTCTCCCTCCTACCCGAGGGTCCCAGCCAGCGCCTAGCACGCGCCAGGCTCGGTGCGGGCGCTGGGCAAGTGGACACCAGCTCGCCCAGAAGCGTGTGAGTGGGTGGGGGCTGGGCGTGTCACTGCGTCTCGCGGGCTCTGTGTCCCAAAGAGGGAAACAACCTTGACCCTGAGGACAGTAACCTCCTCGCTGCGTTACCGCATCAGTCATCCTCCTGGCTTTCACGTGCCCACGGCCGGGGAACTCCTCGCCTCTTCCAGATCACCCCCCTCAAGGGCCCCACGCCACGCGGATTTGTGCCGAGATGGTTCCTCAGGGAGACAGCGAGCATCCACTCCCGCTCTGCGGCTGCGTGTGTGTGTGTGTGGGTGTGTGGGGGGGTGTGTGTGTATGTGTTGGCAGCGGGAAAAATGAGATAGGCGGTGAACGACGTTGTCCAGCTGTCGTGCCTGGCACACAGTAGGTTCCGAAGGCTGTTTGAAAAGTCCCCTACAGGGGAAGGGGCTGGCCGGGGTCTGGACATCCCTTCCCTCTTTCTCCTCACGTTTAATATTTAATTCACATCCGTCTACCCGGTCAAGCCCTTTTGGTTTCTGGACATACCTTGCGCACCTACTACGTGCTGGGCTCAAAGATGGGCTGTTTTTCGAAGCTGCAGGCGGATCCGCCTGGGTTTCTTTCTCGGGAGCTGCGGGAGAGCTGTCCGGAGGTTCGAAAAAAGCAAGGTACACTGCCCCCTACCGGCTGCCGTGGAAACTGCCGCTTGATTCCTACGCGGGGAAGAGGCACCAGCGGCTGGGTGCTTAGGGGTCGCTCACTGCCCTCCTCACACTTCTGATTCCTCCTCCCCAAAACAATGGCCCGCCCGTTTTCTGAAATCCTGCGGTTGGCTGAAAAGACCGACCCGAATTCACCGTGACATGTCCAGGTCTGGGGGCAGAGTGGGGAGCCTTTCTAGTCTCCCATCATCTCTCTCTGACTTTGGAGTGAGATGAAATCTCTCCGAGTCTGTTTCCATATGTGTAAGATGGTGTCATTACTACAACATTACAAATATGTTACACAAAATAAATACTGTATAAATTGTGTGTATGTGACCATATCTGTATATACGCACATATTGTCACACACCGTATATGTGGAGAGAAATTTCATCACATAAAAAAATGTATTTTGCTGAATAAATATCAGAATAAGTAGGGAGCTCCTTCGCCAACCTTTGAACAATGCTGCATGGGCTGGAACTTGCTATCTCTGAGTTTTACTAGGCCCCTATCTACTGTCCAGGTTTACAGCTGGGACAAGGCCAGGGCCTGGGCCCCAGCAGTTTCTTCCTTCAATTTTGCTCCACTGGCGGGGGCAGCACCTCCTTGGAGCCCTGGGCTAAGAGGAAGGAAACAGGAAGTGTGGCCTGAAGTGATAGCCGAGGGTTTCTTTAGGGGGTGCGGGTTCTCATCCTTTAAGCTCGGCTTTAGCAGGCACCAGTTAGCATGTAAGCAGCCTCCTGCTGACCTCAAGACTGTGTTTCCACTTGGGGGCAAAGGCCGGGCACTCCGGGGTTGGGCTGGCCAGCACCTCTGCTGAAGTCGGGGACCTTCCCGGAACTGACCACCAGAGCCTTTGTGCTCCAGTTTTGGTGGGGTGGGTTCATCTGTGGGTCTGGCAGTGAGGGTCCTTTGGAGGTCCTGGGGCCTCAGGAGTGCATGGGGCTTTGTGCCAGTTGAGTCTCCAGCTTCCCGCTCCATCACCAGCCCCAGGAGCGTCCCCTGGAGGTAAGCTGTGGGCAGCCCCTCAGGAAGGGGCCTCTTTTCATCTTCTGGTCAGTTAACCTTGCCTGAGTCCATTGCTGCGTAGCAGGCTGCTGACCAAAGGAGTTTTATTTGGACAAGACTTTGCCTTATAGGATCTAAACCTTAACCTTCTCCTGGGCCCCCTCTCACACCACAAAAAACATCCAAGAAAGGGAGAAATAAAATCCACCAGTCATCTCATCCTGTGACCACTTCCCAGGGAGTCCTACGTGCATATCTGCACACACATGCCACAGGCGGGTGGAAGAGCTGGCCTGGTCACAAAGAATTATTCTCCAGTAAGGCTTCCATACACTTGGTTCCAGTGCAAAACCATGTGGAACCTTCAGCGCCCCCTCGCAGACCAGAGGATCTGGGCGCTCTCTCCTGCTCTAATCTGGTTCCAGGAGCCCAGCCTTGGGCCCTGGCGAGAGCTTGTGTTCTAGCTCTGGGGCCAGCATTTAATTGCTTGGCCACTTGGCACCCAAATTGTTTCAGGCTCTGGGTCTCAGTTTCACTCTCTGTGAAATGAGGGGCTTGGAATTCTGCCTGTGTCCCCCTTGGGGCCCTTAGAGGCTTTCTTTGTGAAGACAGCCGCCCCCACCCCCGCGCCCTCCCCACATTTGCTTTGCCTCCAGTTCCATCCTCAGAACTGTCCAGACGACACCCCAGCATCACAGACAGCCCACCCCACCCCGGGGTTACTCTCACTCACGGAACCTTGAGGAGCCCACGCTCAGTCAGCCAGGTCGTTCTCCAGAAATTTCCGCCTGGCTATGGAGACGGGGCCCAGAAGTGTCAGCCTCTGGGGTCTGAAACCTGACAGAGTTGAGGTGACCTCTGTGAGGACGCCCCAAAGATGCCTACTGCAGATAGGAACCATGGCGACCTCTCCAGGAGGTCCCCACGGTAAGAGCTGAGAAGATGTTTTTAGAAATTTTGTACAACTCTTTCATTTTACTCACAAATCCTGAGGCCTGGTGGAGAAGTCACAGGGACCTTTGGTGACAGAGCTGATCTAGAATGCTGGCTAGTCTCAAGCTTTAAATAGATTAATTAGTCCTCCAGGTTTTCCCTCCCAAGCCCACTCTGTTCCATACGCTTCTGTCTCTGTTTCTTTATTGGAGACCGGCAAAGCCTGGGGTTCTCTCATTTCTTTAGGTGGAATTGTTGGTTGGATGGTTTAGATTATGGTTGAATCAACATTTATTAGGAAACTCTTCTGTTCCAGGCACCATGCAAGGTGCTGGAAGTGTAGAGATGGAAGGACACGTATTTGGTCTGCGTCCCCCACCCCCAGAGGTCATGGTGTCATGGGGAGGTGCGTGTGGACGTACAGTTACCCTACAGTGCTGTTTGCACTAAAGCAGAAACATGCATGTGCTCAGGCAGGGTTGGGACAGGGGAGAGAATGGATTCCTCTGCCTTGGGGGACCCACAGAAGGGTCCGTTGAGGAAACAGCCCCTGGGTAACTTGGGGAATTCTTCTAGACATCAGTCAGACTGCAGGAGAGCAAAGTTCTTTTCTTGAATGCGTAGAATTGATGTCTAATCAAAGTGGTCTGCGTGCAAGAAAAATAAAGTAAAAGAACAGATTGGCTGTAGGTCTCTTGTGCATGGTTCTGCAGAGGTGAGGGAACTGGGGATTTTAGGGGTTTGGTGCTTTGGCCTCCGGTTCCTGTACTACATCCTGCTCTCCGGTTTGCTTCTGTGGGATTCATCATTGTCACTCAGCCAGAGTGCAGGTCCCTGAACTCTGCGATCCTCTGAGGGCTCTGGGCTTCAGAGTGATGGCATGGAAAAAATGAGAGTGGCTGCTTTGCTTTGGTTTCAAAAAAATAAAATTCAATGCTTTGTCTTTAGTACTTGTCCTTATACTTCAGCTCCGATTGAAATAGCTGATTTGGGAGAGTGCGATTCAGTGGCAGGTGGTGTGGGGTCGGAAGTGCCGCCGTGGTCCAGCTGTGTGAGCTCGGGCAAGCGCTGCACCCCTTATGGGCCAGATTCAAGATACAGTGGGCAGTTGTCCCTCAGGATGTGGGCCCCTGTGAGGATGAAATTAGAGTGTATGTGAGAGAGGACTGCACCTGGGACCATGCTCCTGGAGCCTCCTGGGATCCCACTTAAGAGTCTGGTTCCAGAGGGTTATAAGAGGATGTGCTGGCCGGACAGAGCATGTGGGACTAGAAGGGTTGACTGCAGGTGTTAAGTTTTGGAAAGCTCTTGGAAAAACACGTGAAACACAAGGCTGGTTTTAATGGTACATGGTTGGTTAATAACCCACCCTGGCAGGAGCGAGGCAGAATGGTTGGGTTGGAGTAGTAACATTCTTTTCTCCTTCCTGCAAGTTGTATGAAGTTTTAAAGTTTCTTTTCTCCTAGGGCATGACCCAGAGAGGTACCAGGAGCAGGGACACCTGGGCTGGGGGAGGGAGATGCTCTCTGCCCTGAGTTCCTCCTGTGTGGCTTGGCTGGTCAGCAGGGGGCGTGGCATATGTGGAGGCTGAAGGTCCTGGAGTGGACTCTGTCGTGGTCAGCACTGGGGCAATGAGGTGGCTCTGATGTCAGGATATTTCCTCCGGGCAGGGGGACCTCCTGGGTCCTGGTCCTGCTCCTGCCCCGTGACCTTGGGTACATCACTTAACCCGAGTTTCCATTTCCTCAACTAGATGGCAATATAAATCCCCCAAGACAGGATGGGGCATGTGAACAGGCCTTACTGCTTATAAATTAAGCAGCATTTACTTTTTATTATATGGTTAGCGTGTGCCCAGTATTGTGGCAAGTATTTTAAACTTCAGATCCTTCTGTATTCCAGTAGAAAACATATGAACTCAAGCTGAGTGGAGAGTTTAAGAGAGAGTGTTTACAGAGCTGGGAGTGGTATTTAGATAAATCAGCATGGGATGTGACAGTACCTGGGCCCAGTGACCACGCCCCACCACTGCCATCCCCCAAGAAAAGGCAAAGGGAGGCGTGGAGGAGGGGAACCAGGAAAGGGTGGCATTAGGAGCTGATACACTT